GGGGGGGGGGGGGGGGGGGAGAACTGCACGCCGTAGTCTTTTTCGTCTTATTCTTGTTGGTCCTGTAAGGAGCTTTGGACGCTGAGTACGCGTACGTGCCTATTTGCTTGACCATCCGGCGAGAGTGTACGGGCGAGAGAGAGGGCTATAGACCAAATATCCTGAAACGTGTTGTTGTGTTGCGTTCATGCTATAATCAAATGGTCTGGAAGTGGGGGAACGACAAGACGCACACCTGTTGTTTACCCATGAGCGAAGTTCACCAGGTGGCTTGAGGGAGGTGGCGGTTGCGACGGCGTAAACACCGCGCTTTCGGAGGGGGGCCTTTTGGTTCGCGTCTCGTGCCTTCTTCTATGACGGAGCTATCTGTGTAGCTGACAAGAGTCACAGGGAGATCGGGGAGGCCATAGGTTCGTGTTCCATGGGGCTAAATCTAGACCCTGAAAAGCTGCTGAGTTCCAATGGGGCTACCCGTGGTTGAGCGAAATGGTGATCGTGAAGTGTTGTGGTGGTACGGAGTCTTGCTTGAGGTATTAATGTGTTGGCTGCCAAGAGAAGAGGAGTGTCGGCTCGGTGGTGCTTTGTGTAAGATTGGACGAACAGGAGCAGCTGTTATCGAGAGAGGGGATGATCGGGGACCGGCGTTGTGTTAATCATGTTTGGTGTGGCAGAGCCAGTTGTGGGGTAGAATCTACGGAAAGGGGTCGAGTGCGTGGTTGCGTGTAAGCTTCGCCAGAAAGCGTCTGCGAGAATCGTAGGGGAACGTTCGACTGGAGGGAAATGTTTTGAGGTTAGGAGCATAAATGAGGGGGGAGACGGGTCTATGTTCCACATCTTGAAGGCGCGTTGTTTTGGGGGTATTTCACAGCCGGATGGTAAGTTAGGTGATGAAGGGAGGGCGGAGGCAATGTTGTTGGTTGGTTTGTTGGTTGAAAAACGAAGTGAAAATGCAGTCGGTTGCATGAACGAATGTCGAAGAGCACAGAAAATACGTCAGACGAAAAACACCCAAACGAGAAGGATCCCGACCCCTCTTCCCCACTCACCATGCCTTCCTCGTTTGGTAGGAGAGAAGGGTCTAGCAACGAGTAGAGCGGCGGTTCGACTACAAGCCACGATCATTCAGCAGAACTGCTCGGCCTGTCCGTTTCCTTCGGGCCTCCCGCGGACGGCCGCGATAGGTTGCGTGCAAGCGTTCCCGTCAGCCCGTCTGGCGGGAGCCACCCGGGCTTCGGGCAACGGTTTGTACGCAATCTGTCAGGACGGCCCGGAGGCAGACTCGAAGGCACCCAACATGCGAAATTATTCTGACGAAGGATCGTGACCAGTCGAATTGCTGCGGCATTCTTCGCGACGTCTCCGGCTGCCGAACGAAAGAAGACGTGGGTAAGTGAGGAAGAGGGGTCATGGGGTCTTCATGTAAGCCCTGCCGATCAATTTTTTTCCCACGAAACGATTGGCAGCACGCTCCTCCACCACAGTCCTGGAGTGACACTGAACCGGACTCGTTTGCTGATTGATGCGGGGGTTCTTTTGATGCAAATGTAACACCGCGGCGGCCAGCACATGCGGCGAGATCGGCGAGATGATCTCTGGGTTAATCTTCTGTCTCTGGCTCAGGGACACATCGATCCATCCGTGGATCCGTCCACTCCTCTACTTCTGCTGTTGTTGCTGAGGGCATGTTGTTTGAGACCGCCACCACACAAGCATGTCTTCAGAGCGAACTCGCTGGTCAAGTGACCACACACCGCACAAACACGTACTGTAGTTTGGACTTGGGCTTGCGGTGAGGTGGATACCATGGTGGTGCACGGTGGAATGAAACATTGCCCCGGATCGCGGATTTACGCGGATGAACATTTACCTGTCGTCGGATCATGGCTCGTCGTGGATCGTGCCAAACTGCTTTTGCTGTCGATATAGTCTAGAGTACTGCATGGGCCCCGTTACAGCACGGCCAGTGTCTTCAACGCACACCCGTTACCAGGTTGTCCAACAGCGCGTATTAGTGTGTATGTACATGAACACGGGTCTTGTGGCGAGATGAGGTGGAAATAGGATGTGTTAATGTCGCGGTTCCGGTCTTGGTGGTGTGGTGGGGTGCGGTGGTGTGGTGGGGGTTGGGGGGGTTGGGTACCCCCCGGGTGTTTTTCGTTTGAGTTTGGGGAAAGAATGAGAGACAGACACTGCTGCAAGACTGAAACACTTTGTGCCATCCAAACTCCCAATCAATCGAGCCCACCGCTGGGAGGCGTACTCTTATGTTTTGCATGCCTTAGCGGTTAGACCATTGACCACGCGTCCTCGAGAGGACGGAGCATTGTTCCCACAGGACCGATCACCGATGGCCAATCGTTCCTTTCTACTTTGCCAAAGGTGGCTCAAAAATGTCTTCCCTAGTCTGTCTATCCTAACGATATCCCTT